GACAACATCGTGCATTTCGGGTGGCCGGATCAAATCGAGCCACGGACCTTGCACTTGCAGCTCAAACTCGAGCTCATATCTGAACTTGGATGGAAAGCCTCGGAAAAACAACTCATCGCAGTCAAGAGCGCTGAGGCAATTCTGTGCTGCTAGGGACTTGGAAATGGCAAGGAACTTGCGCATATAGCATCCAAGATGGGCTAGGGTTTCCATCTTGCAATCTTTCTCCACAAACTTGCGGAGATCTCTGAAGCGATACACAGGTGCTTCAATGTCGGCACCGTAACAGCTCAGCAATTCTGCTTTGAGCGATGACCAGTCACCGGTCTCTAGGTCAGGAAGGGTGCAAATGAACCTCGCTTCCTTATCGGAGCAATAAGCTGGCAAATAATTGCACTTTTCGGCATCTGTGAGGAGTGCAGCATCCGCCAGCAACTCATACTTGCACAGGAACTTAGCAACCCATTTTCCCTTGAATCGGGGCGCTCTGGGGCTACAGGTGCTAGGCATTGGCGTGTAATAAACGTCAAACACAGGCGCTGCAGTGACAGGGACTGAGGCCATCTCTGGAGGCAAACTAGGTGCCATGTGGGTGACAACGGGGATTTCTGGAGTGTAAGGGCTACTCAGAACCTGCTTTCGTGGAACAAGGGCAATCCTCTGTGCCTCTTGACACTGGCAGGAAGGAGGAATCCCAGGGAAAATGGGGGAAACTTGGGTAAAATGTGTGGAACGTGTGGATCTGTGAACTTGTGGATTCCTAAACTTGTACTTGTACTTCTTGGCGTGCTTTTGTGTAACAAATGATGTATATACTCGATATCCACGATCAAATAATCAATTTGTAAATGAGTGGAAGTGAAAACTTGCATAAACTTGGCGTAAGTGACCCCAAACAGGAAACTGACAACCCCGGCCCCCTGTAAGGACCACCAATAATGTAACCGGGCAAAAGAGCTTCCCAGGAAAATAGTAGGGACCTGGGGTAGTGTCTGAGTCGGGTCGGAAGATGGGAAAGGATGGGTGGCAACAGTGCTGATACTGTGCCATGGTCCGGGTGCTAGAAAATAATCAATAAAATCTCACTAATCATGTACTCACTCCTGGTCCTTCTTGGACAGTCGTCAGGAGGCTCTTTAACGTATGGAGGGATCGCTCAACACCACATTCTTTGTAGCACAGAAGAGGGGTCCAACAATGTAAGTACAAGATAAACTGGGCATATTTATAGAAAAAAAAGGGAAATCAGAACAAAAAAATAAGAGAAAATAGCCGATGGATGGTGTCAATGGAAACAGGAAGAATGTTGAGAACTTGGCTGAGAAACAATAAGGCAAAAAGGTGTCCACAAGGTAGCAATAAAATCAATAATTGAGGCCCATAAGGTCAATATCAACCATCAATCTCGCTTCTCCACCGCATATCCGTCATCCTAACTCCCGTCCCGTCCTTTAATCCTCTTCTGCTAATCCATCGCTGTCCTTCAAGCTCAAAATCGTGTGAATTGGTGGAAAATTGGTGGAGATATGGGGGAAATGGTGGATATCCATGAATTTTGGGGAAGTGGCAATATGGGTCTTGAGAAAAAAGCATGGAAAAAATTGGAAAAAAATGTTAAAATGTGTCGTGGGCGTTGGGATTGTGTTGTATGCTTGGGGGTGCTCGTTGGAGCCTCGAAAAACGTGTTTCTGGCCTTGTTTGTGTGGTACTTGCTGTGCCCTCCTACAACGTCTGGTTAATGACCATAGTTCTGGGAATAAGTCCCTCAACTCCTTGATTCCTGCCGAAGGGGCTTTGTCGTCCTTGATAACCTCAGCAACCTTGCCTCGAATATCCAAGCGATGATGTTGCAAAATGGAAATATTTGACCATGTTATGTGTGGAAGTCTGACACTTCTCAAGCTTACCGACATATTCCAATGCACCCCAGATGGCAGGCAAGACAGGCAACTCTCGTTAACAGTTCCTATCATGTTGACCGGTGCGCCATTTTTGGGAACTGAGCTTCTGGGCAGCTTTGGTGCCTCTTCTTTGGACTCGTCTGTTGGATCGCCATTCATCTGCAAAGGATCCAAGGACTTCTACACTATGTGGACGATGCTTTCAATGTCACCTTCACCAATGATCTCAAATTCTATGCACCTTACAAGCACGTCATGCTGCATGATCAGGCAACCGTCCTGGAACTTTTGGATGAGATTGGAGTGCCACATGACGATGCAAAGCAGCTGTATGGCAAGCAGCTAGAAGTGATTGGGTTTCTCTTTGATGTTGAAGATTTGTCGATTTCAATCTCTGCTGAGGCCAAGGCGAAATTCTGCACTGCGATACGAGATTTTGTCTTGGACACACCAAATGGGTCGCGCTGTCAACCGCTGCGGTGTGGTTGCGGACCCTCGGGTATGCGAACTGGATGCTCAACGTTTTCCCCTTGCTCAAACCTGCACTAAATTCGGTGTACAATAAGGTTGGTGGAAAGCAAGCAATGCACCAACCTGTTTATGTCAACAAGCAAGTCCGCAACGATTTATTATGGTTCGCTGACTTGGTGAATCAACTCAAGGGAGTGAGGATCCTATCAACTGAAGTTTGGACGCTGTTCGATGCGGATCTGGAAATTTTTGGGGATGCATGCAAAATTGGACTTGCTTTCTGGGCCCTAAAACTCCAAGCTGCTTATATAGGGGACCCAGTTCTCACTCCTGATGAGCCTTTCAACATCTTCTATAACGAGGCAATCACTATCCTCGCTGCACTCCAATGGGCAGCATCCATTTCTCCTTTGCCTAAGCAGCTTGCAATCCATACTGATTCGACAAATTCTCTCAACATTTTTAACTCCCTTCGTGCTACCGACCTCTATAACGCTATTCTCATGTCCACCATTGCTACACGGTTCAAGAGTGGGATGGATTTATGTGAAGGCATAACGTTGTTGCAGACACTTTGTCGTGGAGAAACTTTGAGGTTGTGTGAAACCTTTATCCCTCTTTAACTATCCACCACTTTAGGCCTCTGGCATTGTTAAAACCGGGGGCCAAATCAATATGAACATACGAGGGCACTCGACAACCCGACAACCTCAGCGTGAACCTTGGTCAATCGAGCGCTTACAGCAGGCTCGGGCCACTGCACTCAGTGCTGCCCTTGAGCCTTCAACTTTGTGCACATATACCTCTGCCCTTCTTTCTTACACCACTTTCTGTGGTTTACATAACCAACCTTATGCCCCAACACTGGACACCCTTACCTTTTATGTGGTTTACATGTCCACTCACATCCAGCCTTCTTCGGTTTCCTCATACCTCTCAGGCATCTGTGCCGAACTTGAAGGCTACTGGCCAGAGGTCCGGGATATCCGAAATTCCCGTCTTCTCTCACGCACCCTTGCTGGGTGCTTTAAACTTAATAGGTCCCCCCCAGTTCGAAAACAGGCGCTAACTGAGGGCGACCTGCACTGCATTCTACAAGCTATCATGCTCACTCCTTCTCTCAATGACAATCTCTTTGTTGCGCTTTGCTTCGTCAGTTGGCATTGTCTTATGCACTTAGGAGAGCTGGTTGACAATGACGTTGTTGCATTGCGAAGTTTTCGGAAGTCCATCCGATGTTTTTCTGTGAAGTTTCGCAACAACCCACGTCCACATGTCTCTTTTTCCTACCAATGCACAAATTCAAAAACTACCTCTTCATGCACGATACTAGGTTCCCTCACCTGCCTGACTTATGGCTCCGTGAAAGCGGATGTTTGCCTACACGCTCCTGGTTTATCTCCCATCTGCGTTCTATTATCAATGACCCCAATGTGGCTGGTCACTCACTTCGCTCCGGTGGTGCCACCGCACTTGCTTTAACTGGCACTCCCCTAGACCATATCTGTTTAATTGGTCATTGGTTTTCCGAGGCCTTCCTTATTTATCTACACCAAAATCCCATCTTAATCCAGAGCACATTGCCCGGTCGCTCCACTTTTGATGGACAACGCACCGAGCGTTTACTCTAAACAAATCCAATGGACACATCAATGGGCAAATCTTTCCTCTTTTTCCACCACCATCCTCCCCTCCTCCTTCCTATGTTATGGTCATCGGTTATGGCTTGCCCTTGGCCATTGTATTTCTTTTCTTGCAATCCCATTTTGTGCTGGCCCACGTTGCATCGTGGGCTGTGTCCACTAAGTTGGTTGGAACCGATTAGATTCAATGAAAACAAAAGCTGTCTGCAAGGAAGTCGTTTTTTCGGTGTAAAATGTATCAACACGAAAATTTGCCAGTTGGACATTTCCAGCGCCACTGTGGCTGGTGTCACACCAACCTCGCCACCTCTTCCGGTTAAGTTAGCTTGTGAGACAAGTCATTCAGATACAAATCTTGTAATGTGACAGTCAAGCTACTTGGTACCACAGTGAGTTTGTGGGAAGGAATCCATACTCCCTCACAAATATTGTTGGGCACTAAGGAGCTCGGGAGGCAAGGTGGATTGTTTTCCCAACCTACCGACCCAGCCATCATCATCAAAGTTGCTGTATCGTTTGTAGGATTGCAATCCTCAATCCCAATGTCATGGCATCCTGGTAAGATGGCAGTCACAATGCATCAAATATCTTTTGTACAGAGCAGTCCACTATATACTCCATCACATGCAGACCAGCAATCGAAAATGGCTTTCATATTTGGATGTACAAGTGAGAAAAAAAAAAGAGCAGATGGGAAGGAGGAGGTTGGAAAATGAAGCAAGAGACAAGATCAAGTCACTCATCCTGGGAAACAATATATTGGATAGCTTCCACCATATCTTGATGTAGCTGATACTCAGGGGCTGTTTGTTCTCTAGGCAGGGGATCGTTGGGTAAGAAACAAGGAGCAAAGTCCCAGCCCTTGTGACCAGAGTGGCATCGTGCAAAGGGCTATGCAGATTTTTTGAGTCGCCATCCAAGGTTGAGCTAATCTGAGTTTGTTAGAGTCTGATCGATCGATGGAAGGTTGGAAGTGAATGACATCATGTGTTTGGGACCACAGGAACGATGCGCTGTCCGTTTTGTGGTTTACTATGTTATGTCGGGGTCTGAACGAGTGACAGAGAAGGTTGGAAATGAGCGATATTCTGTGTATGGAAGCGCAGGAATGGAGCGGTGTCAGGTGGACAGAGGTATGGATCGACAGCAAGTTGTTGGTGTTGGTGTTGGAAGAGCACAAAGAATCGAGGCGATTAAAGCCAAACCTGAGTGAGTGTGAAGTTCAAATGTGGGAAGAGATGTGTACAAATGGGGGGCAGGCTTGGATTGAAACTGCAGATGGAAAAATATGGGATGCAACTGATCAATGATTCATCGTGAGTGTGAAGTGAGAGGGCATCAAAAACACATGAGATCAAGCAATGTTTCGCCTGGAAAACGCACCATGAAAGAAAACTGTGCCATTCCATCATCTAACACTTCACCCATCTGGGGATAGCCAACGACAAGAACTCGTACACTGTTTCCAGGGGGAGTGATGCTTTTGGGTTTGTAGGCAACGGGTGCCGGCTCCGAGTATTGTTGGCAAGATGCGTAAGCGTGCCTCTTGATGTGTTGGAGTGCCTCTTGATTTTTTGGAATGTCATGCCACATATGTAGGACGAAGAGAGCTAAAACCGTTAGGCACCCATGCAGTGGGAAGCACATGTTTTAGAGACCCCCCAACGTTATCACTTATGGTGGAGAGGGCAGCTAAAAGAGGGCCGCCAGTACAAAACGCAGCAGGCGAGGAGGTCAGAAAGTGGAAGGTGGTTGAAAAGGTGGTACAGAAAAAGGCCAACACAGGATGACTTTGATGTGTAAGTACCATCCATGCCGTTATCCATTATGGCAGTGAGAACCTCTTCGACCCATAACCAGCTAACCACATTGGGTGCCAGGGGAGCCTCTAGATGATGGCAAGGTGTTCCCCAACCCAAGGATCTAGGGAAGACATAACATATGGGAAGGATGAACTACAAGAAATTCCAGCAGTTGTTCCCATGCCATCAACCCTCACAGCCAGAACCAGTGCAATCCTCAAAACACAAGCTGCACGACACAGCACACAAACCTGAGAAAAAAAGAAGGTTGGGACAAGGATCAAGTGGTGTTGAATGATAAATAGTCCTAGCTTCCATAATTGAACACTCAGATTGGACAGTGTCATTGTAGGATGGACAGTGGGCAATGTTATCTCAATGCTCAGGGAATGGCCATTGCGATAGTACAGGGATGGTGTCACATGAGGTATCAAAAGATTTCACTCATCAGGTGATGAGCTGCTGGTTTGCCATGCTTGGGAACAACATTTGCAGAAGCAAATCAAATGTTGCTGTCTACCAGTTGAGATACTGAGTATCTCACCTGAGCTCATGGGAACAGAATTTGCGGAAGCAAATTTTGCCGTGCATCAGTTGAGATTGTCAGAGACCAGGTTGAGACGAGGGAATGTCTCTGTGGCGGAGGGCTTCGGCCTCAGCGACTTATGCCAGGAGCACTGTGCCAAGTAACACGTCCGTGCCCTAACTTACTAAACTGGTAACCAGAACTGAAGGGGGATAAACTCTAGTCGATTTTATTACTGAGGTGTAACCTATGTACAAGTTGAGTATATATAGTTACAACGAGGGCGGGGCTGTAAATGGCGGAACCGAGCAGAGCGGAGCTAACGGGGTTAGACATTAGCCGATTGAATATTACCAACGAGTCGGGTTACAGGGTTAACGGAGAGGCAGGTGATAACCCAGAAATGGAAATGAGGGATAGGCCCGAAGGTGGGCTTTGCAGGGCAAGCAAGTGTATTGCCCAGCGGAGGCGGGAGTGTGCTAGCAGACATCAGAGCTGTCCGGAAGCCTTTGGGGCTCCGTACTTAGGGAGGTGTAGGTAATATATTGAAAGGAGGGGGTGGTGACCATCGAGGGGTACGAGGGGATTGCGGAATATGGGAGCTCCGAGGTTAGTGAAGAAGGAGCAGAAGTAGACCAGAGGGATCGGAGGGATCGGAAGTTGATGGCCGGGGATGGATATGACAGAGATACTGAGTATCTCACCTGAGCTTGTGGGAACAGAATTTGTGGAAGCAAATGTTGCCATGTGCCAGTTGAGATACTGAGTATCTCACCTGAGCTTGTGGGAACAGATTTTGCAGAAGCAAATATTGCCGTGCATCAGTTGAGATACTGAGTATCTCACCTGAGCTTGTGGGAACAGAATTTGCAGAAGCAAATATTGCCATGCACCAGCTGAGATACTGAGTATCTCACCTGAGCTCATGGGAACAGATTTTGCAGAAGCAAATGTTGCCATGCAAGTTGAGATACTGAGTATCTCACCTTGGTGTCAGGGCACATACCCTGACTTAGCCCGGACCCGGACCCGCATCCGGACCCGCTCCACTTCCCGCGCACTTCCTGCACCGCACACTCCGCTCGCCGCATGATCCAACCCCGGATCCCACCTCATGTGACTTCCGGGTATCCCCGGAAGTTTTCGCCATATTGGGGCCACTGTGGGAAAGTGAGAAGTTAACCTTCTTCTCACTTTCTTACCCACAGTAGCTATGCCCTGAGATGGGCTGTGTTTACAGGCCAGACTGTGGACTGTAGAGAGGGGTCATGGGGACCCAGGGTCCGTCCCCTGACACTTGGCTCGTGCCAACAAAATTTGCAGAAGCAAATGTTGCCATGCAAGTTGAGATACTGAGTATCTTCACCTTGGCTTGTGGGAACAAAATGTGTGGAAACAAATGTTGCTGTTCTGCCAGTTGAGATACTGAGGATTTCAATCAATAAATATGCCACATTGTGCTAGTTGAGATGCTCAATATTTCACCTGATACAATATAACAATAAATTCGGACAACTCCACTACAATACAGCTAAGGTCATAACTGAAAGCTAGACCTCATTGACCGATCACATCTCTGAACATGAACATGACCCCATAAACAACCAGCTAACCAAGAACCAAGAACCAAGACAGCAAGAAAGCACTCGAAGATCAAACTCGCCGATGAACACCACCAGCTGACTGTCAGGGTTTCAGCACCCTGCCCTAGGGTACCCCAGACTCCCCAACCACTCCCTTCCTCCCATTCCTTCATTGTTGCCATGTTGTTGCTTCTATGTGTTGTGTATCTGCACACATGGGATAGCGTGGGAACTTTCTGAGTGAGCACCTCGCCCAGAAACCTGCACAGCCACACCCGTGGGAAGATTCTGGGCACTGGCCCCTGGATGTTCCCTCCAGGTCACACTACACAACTCTAGGAGCTGTATAGTTGTGGACATGTGACCCATTCCTTTATATAGCAACCATGCAGATGAGACCTTTACCCTTCTTCTCATCTCATGCCCTGCATAGTGTGAGGACAGGCCAGATGGGGGTTGAGGTCAGGGAGCTTCCGAGTCCGAGGCTGGGCCCTGACACTGACCTCTGAAGATGACCCCAAATACGACCACAACTCTTGGAGATGTCAGTGGTAATGTGACCACTTCAATTGCTTGACACATCACATGTCACCATCCTGGGGTAATGTCATCAGTTACCACATGAACACACATTATCCTACACACATCTTGCATTGAGATACTCAGCATCACTTCCAGGCTGATGGGAAAGAACTTGCAGACACAACTCTTCCTATTGTTGAGATACTGAGTATCTCAGCTGGGCCTGTAACACAATCTTCCAGTGCACTCATAATAACTTTCATATATAACAGTCATAAAATAACTATAAATACAAGGATTACAGTCATCTCTTTCCACCCGGTTTCCTTCCTTGTGGGGGCTTTGGTGGAAGTCTTGGAGGACTTGCACCCTGAGAGATTGCACTGACTGATGTCCCCACCACTCTCGGTCTAGGAACAGCTGAACGTTTCACTGGAGCCTGCCTCGAAACTGATTCTTGCTGCACCCTACCACTCTCTCTTCTAGCCTCCACCTTCAAGGTGCTGGCAAGACCTGATGGTGGTGCTACGCAAGCTGTCAGATTCAACTCTCCTCCTTGTTTTCTGTCCACATACCTCTCCATCCATCATCATGATATCCCCAGTGGACGGTCCCGCATCAGGAATCCTTGTCGTTGAGCCATCTGGAGGGACTTATCAGGCACGCTGTACCCAGGATCAGCTTCACATACCTTGACTACCATCGCCTGAAATCAGACAGACCCATTCTCAGCATTTGAACATGACATATCAAGCATGTCCACCCTACTTACTATCAATGTCCATGATTCCCCCACTGGCCATGACCAGAGGCTCCCTTGGCTCATCCGTGGTGATCTCCACATCTGTCTCGATCTCTTCAGAGGTTGCAAGCATTCTGCTCCCATGTGGCACCCTCCAGGACACAGCTGGTGCTGCATCTGTCTCCATGTTGTCACATCAGGCCCTGAAGGGTCAGAAGCATTGTACAGCTGCTTCCCCTTTCCCTTCACTTGCTGCATCCTTGTCCAATTTCTTCTTTGCATACTTGGGGGACTGGTTGCTGCCTTGCACTTCGAAGCACCTGAGCCACCACTGTCATCTGCTGTGGATTCTGGGGCATCGCCCTCCTCACCCATGTCGTGGAGGGATGAGTGGCCAGCCAGGAGAAGGTCTTGGAGTCCTGTACAAAAGTAAGCACCTCCTTGGCAGTTGCAACTCTAACCATACTTACTGTTGAGCTTGTCCTGGTCTGTGAAAATGCGAAGCTGCAGTTCCTTGCTCCTTGAAGTGTACATCATAAAGGAATCTGCAGAATTGACCATGCACAGGTGATACACTGTGACTGGCCTGGCCTGGGGTTGGCAATGGACTCGCCCGATAATTTGATCGGTGTCCTGCTGGGACCATTGCGAGTTCTATACAAGGCATTAGACACTTAGTATCTCTAAAGCACTACAGACAACTTACCAACAGGATAAGCCAATCTGCTGCCAACAGGTTCACACCTGCCTTCAGCATGGAGGTAAAGATGAGAACACAGGCCAGGAGGCCATTGATGATGGTACCACACTGCCACTGGTCGATGATGCCCAGTTGCTCAGATGGAGACTTGCTCCCATGGAGGACCAATGCACTGACCCCTGCCTTGACCCTGAGTGCAGATGTGAAGGACTGGATGTTTTGCTTGAACTCCATGTACACAGCAAACTTCTGATCCTGCATGAATTGTGGTGAGGAGCCGATAGGGAGAGGTGGGTAGATGAGCTCCCCTGCATCAGTCACCTTGCAGGGGGGCATGTCATCACACAATCTATCATGCATGATGATGTTAATTGCCTCATCCCATTTCCTACATTTGTCTCCCCCATTTTTGTTGTAGTCATTAATGGAGGTGAATATGGGAGCCCACTCCCCTGCAGCACAGGCGTTGATGTGGTCAGTTCCTTTCCTCCCCCGAATCAGGAATTTCTTTAAATCCTGCAGGTCAGCTTATCAAACAACACACAACACATCTCTTGGCACTCACCCTGTATTCTCACCTTAACAGTGTCCCCCTGCATTGGCTGTGTGTCAGTGTCTGGGTAGCAGCATGGGTTGATATCCTTACTTGGTCAACTCCTCCTCTGTCACCTCTATGAGTGCCTTCTCATGCTCCTCTCCAAGCTTGATCCAGGCAGTCACCACATTCAGGGGTGGCAATGTGATGATGTGTTCCCCATTCCTCTTTTGGGAGCCTGGGGTCCTTCAAAGGATGTAGCCGTTGAAATTCTGTTTGAAGGAGAGAATGGAATCTCTCATGAGGCTGTGGGCAATTTGGAGGTCAGAATTCTGGCTGAGCTGGATGAAATTGCCAGAGAGGATGGCATTGGACAGCATCTCTCTGCTGTTGGAATTGGAATTGGCAGTGAGTTTTTGAATGGTTTGTCGGGCATCATTTTGAGATGATGTGACATTCAAGGTCATCATGTCAGGAACACCTAGCATGAGCCCAATGTTCAAGAGGTCCTGAGTCAAATTGTTAGCACAAGATCCCTGAGATACTAAGTGCATTCCCATACCTGGGGTTCCATCACAAGTGGTGTTCCTGAATGCCCCATCATGAATGTAGCAGCATCACAAAGAGGGTACATCTTCACTGGGTGCTTCTGATGGTTATGGATTTCATCCACAATGAGGAGGGTTGGCTTCAATTGGAATATGGTCTGTTTGACATGTGACTCATAACCAGGTGCCTTTCCTGGAGCTTCTGTCATATCCGTGCATACCCGACCCCGACCCGACTTCCGGACCTCCACCCTCTTCACCTCCGGAGTCATAACCTACCGCTGCCTTTCCGATACTCACCTTCGGTCTTGGCAACACACCCCTCCTCTTACCTCTCCGACCCCTTCTCCGTCCGTTCCGATACTCATCTCGGACCGAACATCGCCCTACTCGCCACCCTTCCTACAACTCCGCTCCCCCCTCACAACACCTCCACCCTCCCGTCATCCCCTACGCTTCTCCGTCCGTTCCGATATCCACCTTCGGACCTGACTACTCTTCCTTACCTGTCCCCTCTCTCCTTCTTCCGTCACTCCTCCGCCACCCTTCCGCCAAGTTACGACCGTCCACCACTGCTCCGTACTTCACACTCGGACGCTGTTTGTACCTTACTCCGAGCCTCCGTCATAGTCCATACCTCGGACTTTGACTCCACCTCGGTCTTAGTCCATTGCATTGGTGACCTCATACTACGTAAACACCATTGCCAATATTCCTCGGACATCCAACCCCGCCTCCGGCACTCTCGCCGTTTGTAATGTATTTCTCGCAATTCCCCCTCATCCCTATTTGGACTACTGCTTCTTTCTATTCTAGCCAGTTAGTCATCACCCCCACTTTCCCTCATCCTCCTGCCCCTCTGGGCCTCGCCCACTCTACCTCCTTCCGGTTGTATCACAGGTCTTGCCCTATGACCTTTGGTACCGCTCCGCTCCCTCTAACCCTTTGTTCCCGTTCGGACGTCTTCGTTCCGATTCGGTCACCCTTTGTTCTCCTTGTGCTTTTGCCCCTTCCTTATATATATCGGCGCTTGTACATACTCGTCTGTTTTCAGTCCGAAATCGACCTGAAATGCCCCCAAGAGACTTCCTGCTCACCTACTGTGAAATTAAGGACCAAATGGACAAACAGCAATGGCACAGCGCTCCACTTGAGTCGCTGAGGCCAAGGTCCCTCCATGCTAAGTCTCCGATTCCACTCCGGAGTCGTCCGTTTCCGCCCATCTCTAACAGCTTCCCAGATTCGATCATCGCAAGATGCTTTTGCTGTGATGTTCCTAGTCATAGAGTACAATCGTTGGTACTCTGAGTCATAGGTCTGAAGAATGTGTGAGAAGGGTCCAACTTGATGTAATTCACTTGTGGATTCACAGAGTCTGCCATGATAATGATGTGGTGTTCCAATGGGAGTTTGGACTTGCTCCAAATCCCACCTTCCCCCAGAATGATTTCTGGGTCTCGTTGGTGTACACCATAACATCGACTGTTCCTGACAGGAACCACATGTAAGTTTCCCTCAGCCAGTTCTCGATGAGAGAGACAGAACAAATGATGATATGAGGTCCAACTGGAATCCTCGTCTCACCAAGTTGTCAGGGGATGTGCATGCTTGCACAGGATGCTTCGATAACCTAGTTGTGATTAAAGCCAGGGGAAAGGGATGTCCCCATCTTAGGGTCAGCTATATACATGTAGAGTCCAGCAATAAGGAAACCAAACAGATTGCCGATAGAATCACATGATCATAGAATGTTCCAGAACAATGCTGGAGATGATCCAGGTCACCGGGGCTTAGGTAAGCGGAGTAGATGGGAATTACCGGCATACTCCCCACACGCATATGTGCAGCCAGCATAGGGTCCAGGGTCATTGCTGATCCCTGACACAAGTCCATTGGGGTATGGACGCTCGGCTGCAGGACATGTGAGAAAGTCAAATTTCAAGTTATATGACTGGACATACCAAAGATTGTGCCCTTTGAGGGCAATGCTCCAGCTTTTTGTCTTGAGATCTGGTGTATGATCAGGGAAATGAATGCCAATGCTTGCCTATGGATGGGAGTGAATCAACATGTGAGGGTCTTATAGGAAAGAGACTCACCCAGTTTTTCCGACTCCCATTGCATTGGCCACAAGAATACCAGATTTCCGTCCAGGGGTGGGAGTAAACAGCATGTGGCACATGCTGTAAATACCATCTAGTTGCTGTTCTTGAAGGGTCAAGGGAGCGATGTTCCCAGCCTTCCTCCAATCACTATTCTGTTGGAATTGGGGGTCCCATGATGTGTAGCGCTGCATTTTGTCGCACTCAGTGGCCAAGAAACCTAGTTGACAATCTGAACGTGGGCTGTTGAGCTCCAGACTGGCCTTGAGTGCTTCCAGATCCAGAATCTGTCTTGCTGGTCCCATCCCCAGATCTTCAGTTCCCCATGTAGCATTCAGAGCATCCATGCATTGATTTGCATTGTGGATGTTTCAAATGTCTTCGATCAAGTGTCCCTCAGCTGTCAGTTGAAATAGTTCCACACAGTATGCTTCCAGCTCTTTCAGCTGCTCCACTGTGGCAAGTTTCTTCAAGATGTTGAGCATGCTGGTGTTGAATTCTGCAAGGCACAGAGGTGAGTGAAGGTATCTGGCCTTGGCACTGCCATGCTCACTTGTACGGTCTATTGTGATAACGTGTTCATGGACCTTGATGTCGAGGATGGCGAACAACATGCCCATGAATCCCTTCATCTCCTCGATGCGCTTTTTGCGGTTGGCACTGGGGAAAAGTTGGGCATGAAGGGAGTAATCGTCGATGATCTGGGATGTGGTCTTGATCATGGGAACCGTGAGTTTTGATGGAGCATCTTCAAAGAGCTGTTGGAGTTCTGGGAAGCCGAAGCAAGGGAGCTGAGAGATGCTTTGTAATTCATGTGGGCATTGGAAGACATACTTTCGAATTTCTCCACTGCCTGCTTCTCCAGCCTCTCCAGGACTTTCTCCATTCTCTTGCTCTTGACAGTCAATCGATGCCAAGCAACTGAGAGCAATTGGTCCATGATCACCAAGACAGGCGAGGTGAGGATTTGGGTGTTCTGGCTTGAAGTCCGCAGGGATATCTCTGTACTGAAGAGCACATCAGCGACGTCCTGTGGACAAGTCCCTAGCGATGGAGGGCATGTGGCCATGCCCTCCTCCACATGATGGAATGGGGATGGAAGTCAGTCTTGATCAACACGTTTTCGATGGCCATGAATCCCCAGACACGATCCCACATCTTCTTCCAGGTGGCAGTCCAGATCTTCACTGCACCCTTCAAGTCAGCTGGAGGATGTGCCATCAAATCCCAAACCGCTTGTGCATTTTTATTCAATGCAGAGTTGAAGAGTCTCAAGACAGCATTTTTCTGAGCCATATCCCAACCAATATACCGGGGAAGAGAAGCGACGTCCTCTGGAAAGAGGCCAGAATGGACATCAGTAGCGTTACACCATATTGTTGAGTTCCATGGCGGTTTGTCCTCCTGTGGCCTTTCGAGGTTGATTGGGAGGATCCAGAAGTGGATCATAAGGGCAGAGAGCTGCATGAGAGGCATGTCGATTGATGGTCCAGATGGTTGTGGAAGTGCAGAGTTGGGCAATCCAAGTTGCTTTATACCTTTCCAAGTCTTATCATTCATCCACACCCTCATGTCATTCTGAACCGCATTGTAACATGTTGTACTGCATCATATACACAACCGATCTGCCATCAGCACATCACACACTCCACAACTCTCAGTGCAGCGCTATGTGTGTGGCCAGTTTGTGCATGGAATATGAAATGATTAATAGAGTTGTACACACAGACTCAGTCTCTAACTTGAGAACTAATAACATTGTAACTCTTTACCTGTATGCATGGACTATAACACGGAGAGTACAGTCAGTTATACGAAAGTTAAAAACAACAAAAGGGATATCACCTCAGTCTCTAACTTGAGAACTGAGGGAAAGGGAAAAAACCTAGCGCCCTGTGCCATTTATACAACGAGTACTAATATCGCTTGCAATCGCGACACATGGTCGTCGGCAAGGGTTAATGCATAGAACAGAAAGAGTAGGCAGAAAAGGGTATCAGCAGTGATCCCATCAACACCGCATCAGACAAACTAATAAGGTAAATAGATCGTCGTTAACCACAATGATTTCCAACAGAATACATGAGGAGTCCATAATGAGGTGCATCATGGCATACACATGTTCTCGAAACAACTTCATTCACGACACTGCATGCATTCCCTTCAGGACATATTTCCCTTTTATTTTGCCTTCATCATCTTGGTACACTGTGGACATACTAGAGTAATAGAATAAGTATTTTGTTGTTTTGAGTGCTGGCCTGAATGTAACTCATGTTGACATGTGACCTGTTAATGCCTTGAATCTGTCACGTGACCCAGCCACATATCCTTCCTTCAACTCACCAACCCCAGAGAAGCGTTCCATGCTTCATGAGTCTCAGTGCAGTGTTTTTAGCCACCTGCATGTGTGTGTCTGGAATGCATAAGAAGCCTATCATGCATTGCATCATCCAATGCACATGTTCTTCAAACAATGCCATCTATCACACTGTCTTTCCATCCCTCCAGGGCATGATATGGTTCTCTGACATCATTTGCATTATTTGTATGGTTTTGCATTGCCCTCATGGTCAGAGCATGCTGAGCCATCCATGGTGGTGTCGTCTGTATGTACTTAGGAATGTGCTTATGGCTCTCAACAGACTGGAACATGCCCATAACACATCTCAATCCTTTGCCATGGCACTCTGAAAAATCAGGAGAATGTTGATGTCCAAGCATGCCCATGACGGTTCTGTACAGTGAGTGGTAATGTATGGAATGGTTATCTCAGACCTTGGAAAATCTCCCAAGATGGCAAGAACTTTGATATTTCTCCTGTTTTCCATCCATGCTGACATTGTCTTAGTGGTGTGTCGGCTGAATGTATCGATTCTTTGGTTTCAATTTCACATGTGAACCACCCCTCAACCCAGACATTCCCCAACCATTTCCAAGCTCCTTAGTGTTAGCTTGTTCCATGTCCTCGTTGTGCATGTATCTACAATGCCTATGTGGGTAGTGATGTAAGTTGTCCATGATGGGACCCAGGGAAAGGATATAATGATGGCTCATACCTTCCCTTTGCTTGACCCTAACCCTAACCCTACACTGTTGTTAAACCACTTCTCAGCTTCACCTCGTCTTCATCCTATTGACCATGGCCAACTCAACTGATTACAACAGTGCCAATGATCTGCTTCCTTTCAAGGACTACAACATCAAAGACTTTACCCGAGAATGTCGCCACCTCTTCCAGCTACGCGATGGAGAGGCTGAGGATGAAGGCAGCTACCATCAGGGATTCATTGTCAGGATCCGGACCCCAGCTGGGAGTGGCCGGAGGGCGAGACTGGGTGTGGAAGCTGGGGTACTCTCCCCAGGTGCTAACTCCTCGAAGTCGCTGAGGGGACTGGCCTCAGCCTTCACAGGGAATGAGCTGAGAAGAAGGGTAAGCTTCTCAGCCCCCTGTGAGGCCGACACAAAAGGACCCTAGGAACTATACAGTTCCCACTTGCTGCCGACTTCCCATAATGGGTGTGACCCGTGGGAAAGTTCTGGGCGAGCTGCTCACCCAGAATGTTCCCACGGTTGTGGCTGTACATTTCTGGGCAAGTCGCTCGCCCAGAACGTTCCCACGGGTTCGCGCGCGTGCATCATTATGTGGAACAGTGGGGGGAGGGATAAGGGGAATGGGGAAATGTGGAGAGAGGGTGGTTAGGGAAAGGGTGAGGGTGTCTGAGGGTGAGTGGGGTCAAGGGCTGTGCCCTGACATTCATGTGCTTGGCACACTTTGCAATCAGTGGCCGACATCCAAATCACCACCATCAGGCACATGTGGATGCTCTCTGCTATGCGCCTGCCAATGACACCATTTTCACACTCACCCGTGACTTTGACTCCTTGGTGTGCTGGACAAACACCCTTGCACATATTAAGGCACATCTTTATGTTCACCCCATACCACCGTTTAAACACACAATGGATCATTCTTTACATCTGTCAAAGAGGGTTCTTCTCCAGGGCACATGTGGTTTGTTCTTACCTGTCAACTCCTTCATGCTGACACATGGAAATAGGATGCTCCCATTCACATAGAGCTTCACAAGATTCCCAACATTGGCCTTGGAAATCTTGCAGAATGCACCTCCATCCATCTCTTCTTCCCAATGCTGATGTCTGAGGATTGTCATGGGGTATCTGTCAGGTCACAGTCCATGTATGTAGGGGGTCACATGACCCAGGGAGGTCACTATCGTCCTACCCACTGTGAATCATACATATTTGATACTCACAGCTGGGTTCTAGGACACCCACCTTACAGTATCTCTATCTCAGGTGGAAATGAAGATGGTCTATGATACCATCGTACAGCCAGCGGCAATTACGATAGCTCCAAGAGCTATTCCGGACACAGACCACTTCTGGTGGCCACGCATTTGGATCTGTGATTATCACTGCACCAGATGTCCCCCAATTTGGCATCGAAGTCCGCCACCTGCTTGGACAGCAGCCTTGGGGCCAACAAGCATTCTTCCTCACCAATGTTTGTGGGCACAAGGATGCCAGCTGTCATGATGCACAACCTCAGAACAAACCAGATGAGGTCTTCATCACACATTCGGAGCATGAACTGGCCAGGATGACAGCAGGACTTGATCTCGATATGCTGAGCAGTATGGATTCAGAGGAGGAAAGTTGCTATGTCGACATCGGGATTGAAGTGACAGTTCCAGGACATACAGTCTGTTGGCAGACTGATGGGCATGAACACATGGTTCAGATGATCATTCCAGGCTGGATGGAGAGGGAATGCCACCATCGCACGCAGTGGGGATATGACCGGTATCGACAGGATCTCCTTGCCCAGTTCACAGACATCTCAGGGTTCCGGCTTGAAGTAAGATGAGTCCCCTTTTTGTCATATCCATTCCTGGCCATCGACTTCCGGTCCCTCTGTTCCCTCCGGTCTAACTCCGCTCCTCCTTCACTAACCTCGGAACCCCCATATTCCGCAATCCTCTCGGCACCCCTCAATGGTCACCACCCCCTCATTTCAACTTATTACCTACGCCTCCCTAAGTATGGAGCCCCAAAGACTTCCGGACAGCTCCAACATCCGCTAGCACACCCCTGCCTCCGCTGGGCAATACAATCGCCTGCCCTGCAGAGCCCACTTCGGGCTTATCCCTCCTTTCCGTTAACCCCGCGACCCGACTCGTCGGTAATATTCAGTCGGCTAATGATTAACCCCATTAGCTCCGCTCCATTCGGCTCCACCAATTGCGGACCCGCCTTCGCTGTAACCATATATATATCCCGCTTGTACATAGGTTACACTCCAGTAATAAAATCAACTAGAGTTACCCCCCTAGGTTCTAATTGCCAGTCAGTAAGTTAGGGCACGGACATGTCACTAGGCACAGCACTCTTGGCAGAAGTCGCTGAGGCCGAAGCCCTCCATTATGGAGACATTCCTTCGTCTCGAATCTGGTCTCTGACACTTTTGGCCAAGTTACGTTCCTGACTGGACTTATCTTCACAGCCTGTAGCTTGGCACAACACTCACAGCATAACATATCTTAACGTCTATCACACAGAGAAACAGCTCACCTACCAGCTCGCTGGGAGGTCAGTCACCAAGGAACTTGGTGCAGATGTTATCCTCAACTCAAAGGCTCCTGATGGGGGATCAAAATGGTTCCAAGGGATGTATTCGTTGTATGGAGAAGCAGCCCAGAAGAAGTTTTCAGGTGCAGCCCACTTCGAAGCATGGCTTCCCATTTGGCATGTCCACTCTGTGCTCTGCACACTCCCTCTACAGTCTCTGCTCTGGGCCACGTTGGTCATTCCAGCGGATATTCTGTGGTGAGTATGACCCTTTGTTATGCACCTGGATAAATTGGATGAGACCTTTGTCCTCATGTGTTCAGGGAATTCAAAACAATTCCGTCTGCTTGCTCTGAACTGGATATGCGAGTGGCAGCAGGACAGTGGTAGGGAGCCTTGCATCCAAGGAGATGTCCTTGGCTTTGAGGGCAGCAGCACTGTGGATGATGAACGCCCTCAACAGTCGGCCAAAAGACGACCCCACATTCAAGGCCCTGGCAGACTATGTGCTTCCACACATGGAAGATGTAGCCTCAGAGCATCTCTTCACTGACATGCCGGAACTACTCCCAGACACGTTCACCGACAGGGCAGCCAGGGATCATGGGCGGGAGCCAGAAGAGGGGAGGAAGGTGATGGCAACGAAATCGAACGGTTCAGTTACATGCCATTCGGCATGTTCATGACTCGGGCTCTGGTGCTCCAGCCTGAGACTGATTGTCCTCGATTGGAATATTCCCCATGGCGATGCATATCCAGGGATCATTGGCCATTTTTACTCAAGTATGACCTTCAGACACTCTGCCTAAAGACCTCAAAGATTCAGCTGATTGCTGAGAGGCACCCTGACCACGTTCCATGGAGCACATGCCCTACAGGACTCATCGAGGAGCCACTGATCCATGGAGGTGCCGATGACTCTTTCAATCTTGATGATCTGAGGGAAGCACTTCTTGGAGGTGGATATGACCATGTCAATGATCTCCCTTGGGCACAGCAAACGACTGCAGAAACAAAGGAGATGGGGGAGATGCTGAAGGAAATTTGGTGGTCATTTCCACGAGATTTATTGGTCAAGGCACCAGGGGTCAAGGGTGGTAGAGGAGCACACATCTGACTTGGAAAGACTGAAAGAGAGGAGGCAACATTGGAGATATTCGAAGACCTGGATCTTGCACATGTGTTCATGCACTGCAAAGTGCGAGAATGCAGCACCACAGAGTGGAGGCACAATGTTGGGATTTTCTTCCTTGACAAGGGCACTGTGGCGCCTGCATCAGCAACAGGGTAGAAGGGAATGGCATATTGGACATCATGGGGACTGTTCAAAGAGGACAGCAAGGTCAGTGCCAGGTTGGTCCAATAAGATCCAGGGAGAGATAGTGTGGTGGTTGGACACTCTTGCTTGGCTTCCTCTTGCGGAACCTGACTGACCATGGACTACTCGCAGCCGGGCACATGGCACTCTTTATCCCTTAGATGCACCTGCCTCTACATCTGTGCCCATTATCTTGTTGCATCCATGCAAGCGATCGAGGAACATTCAGTGGATCCGCCCATGCAGAAGTGAAAGATCAGAACAGGTGCAGTGGATGATGATGGTTCAGACACTTAGCTTTACTAACCAATGACAACTGTTAGAGATGGGCGGATTCAGACGACTCCAGAGTGGAATCGGAGACTTAGCGTGGAGGGACCTTTGCCTCAGCGACTCAAGCGGAGCGCTGTGCCATTGCTGTTTGTCCATTTGGTCCTTAATTTCACAGTAGGTGAGCAGGAAGTCTCTAGAGGGCATTTCAGGTCGATTTCGGACTGAACCCACGAGTATGTACAAGCGCCGATATATATAATGGAAGGGGCAAAAGCACAAGGAAACAAAGGGGAACCGAATCAGAACGAAGACGTCCGAACGGGAACAAAGGGTAGAAGAAGCGGAGCGGTACCGAAGGTCATAAGGTAGGACCTGTGATACTTCCAAAAGGAGGTAGGGAGGGCAAGGCCCAGAGGGGCAGGAGGATGAGGAGAAGTGGGGGTGATGACTAACTGGCTAGAATGGGAAGAAGCAGTAGTCCAAATAGGGATGAGGGGTAAATGCGAGAAATACATTACAGGTGGCGAAAGTGCCGAAGGCGATCCGCGAAGCTCAGAGGTTGCGGAGGTTATGGAGGTTACGGAGGTGGGGTTGAAAGTCCGAGGGATATTGGCAATGGTGTTTACGTAGTATGAGGTCACCAATGCAATGGACTAAGACCGAGGTGGAGTCAAAGTCCGAGGTCGGGACTATGACGGAGGCTCGGAGTGAAGATACGATCGGCGTCCGTGTAGGAAGTACGGGACAGCGGCGGAAGGTTGTAACTTGGCGGAAGGGTGGTGGAGGAGTACCAGAGGGAGGAGAGAGGGGAAAGGTAAGGGGGAATGAGTGGCGGAGAGGAGGGTTGTCAGGTCCGAAGGCGAGTATCGGAGCGGACGGGGGAAGCGTAGGAGGATTATGGGAGGGTGGAGGCGTTGCGGAGGGGGAGTGGAGTAGGAGGAGGAGGAGTAGAGGTGGCGTGGGGGGTAAGGAGGAGGTGTGTTGCCAAGACCGAAGGTGAGTATCGGAACGGCAGCGGTAGGTTATGACTCCGGAGGTGAAGAGGGTGGAGGTCCGGAAGTCAGGTCAGGGTCGGGTATGCATGGATATGACAACAACGTTATGTCAGTAAACCCGGTCCCTTGCCTAGTCTCCTATGTGTATATATGACAAATAATAACAAATAATAAATAATAAATAATAAATGATAAATGATACTGGATCTACGAATGCCAAGGGATCTAACTCCCCTCCTGATGTCTGATGAATATGTGGACACGTGACATGTTAAAGAGTTGAACTTGTCAGGTGCCAATCTCACTGATGGAATTGCAAAATGATGGAACCTATGAATAAGTATCTCAGCTGATGCATGGCAATATTTGCTTCCACAGATACTGAGTATCTCAACTGGTGCATGGCAAACCCCAATATTATGAATAGTTCTCAGTCCTCAGTCCATGGTAGTTGGCCTCACAACTCCGCTTTCTCTTGATATTTATTGAATCAAAATTTCGGGATCACCTGACAAGACCATTTCCCATCACCAAATATGTCTGTGGGCTGTGTCATATCCATCCCTGGCCATCGACTTCTGGTCCCTCCGATCCCTCCGGTCTACCTCCACTCCTTCACTAACCTCGGAGCTCCTGTATTCCGCAATCCTCTCGGTACCCCTCGATGGTCACCACCCCCTCCTTTCAATTTATTACCTATGCCTCCCTAAGTACGGAGCCCCGAAGACTTCCGGACAGCTCCGACGTCCGCTAGTGCACTCC